GGAAAGGCCATATGAGCGGAGCGTGCAATTGAATTTCGAAAGTGAATTATTGAGCACGAATTTTGCGGGACAAACAAAGAGATCAATAGAACATGAAAAAACTACCGCTTGTCAAAGTGCGAACAGAGATCCAAGGTCTACAAAAGCTAAACAGCAGTGGTCCTCTGGCTTGAAAAAGGTCGGAAAAATCTAAGTGATCATGCATAAGAATTCGGTCAAGCATGAAGGTTAAAAACAAAATGGAGCAGCAAAATCTGGCGTTCAGTTGAAATGAGTGAGACTAATGCATGGCGATGAAAAGCGCTGGAGCATAGTAGTCTGGCAAAAAGCGGAGCTCGGATTTTGCATAGCCGGAGTTGGTAGCTGAGGTGAAACGGAGTGGTAGGCTTCTCTCAAAAGTTGGAAGGTGGCAGTGAGATTGAGGAATATGAGCTGGTGGTATGTAGTGGAACCTCAAAGGTCTGGAGGTGTTGCATTGATAGACCACGCCAGTCCTTTGACTATGGCGTTATGGGGGTGAATCACCCAGCAGCGGGCGTTGGAGTGGAAAACAGCGCCATGGTCTTGTTGTAAAAGTTGCATGGCGTGGGCTTCGCCGCCGCTGGTGAATTTTGTTCCACGGCCCCAGGCGAGGAGATGGACCATGATAGAATGGACGTTTTTTTGCCATCTTCCATGTGTTGTGAAGGATGCGGGCCTGTTCGTAGTTGTCATGGAGTGATTGGTGAGTAATGCGTGTGGCTTGGGCGAAAAAGCCCGGGTTGGCATCAAAGTGGAGAATGCTGGGCAAGAGGCGGCCTTGTTGCAAAATGGCAGTGATGTTGCCCTGGGGGCCTGTGTGACAGGCGTTGATGTGAACTGTTTCCGGGGTAGTGGAGGTGGCACGGGTGGCAGGCGGTGGTATGGGTCGAGTGGCCTTGTCGACCAGACTGGGAATGTTGATGCAGTGGTAGGAAAAGGTGTCGTAGGTGTTAGTGGAATCATTCCACTTCACATGGGTGAGTTGGCGGAAGTCTTCGAAGGTGAGGCCGATGTCGGCGAGGAGTTGCGCGATGTAAAGGTGTTGTGGTGTGTTTTCCGCAGCTAGTTGTGCGGCGTGGAAATCGAGCCACCATACGATCTTGTCTTTTTCAGAAAGGCTCCAAAAATGTGGTGGAGGTAGCTTCCCAGGGGGGTGGGGGCGTCGTAGTGCTGGAATGTTGGGAAAGTCTGCCTGGGACATGTTTGTGATCTGGCTGTGGTGTGTAGACTGTTGATTGGGTCGGAGAGTAATGGGTGCATGAGAGCGGCTGCGTGAGCGGCCATCTGAAGAGGTGGTGATGAGGTTGACGGTGACCGGCGACGCCGACGGCGTGCCGACGATGCTTTGGTAGTGGAGGCTGCGGGAGAGCGATGGTGTTTGTCGCGCGTGCGACGGCTGCGGCGGCGGCGACGCCGTTTGCTGCGGCTTCTGCCGCGATGGGTGCGGCCAGTGGTTGTAGGAGGGGCCGGTGTTGCTGTGATAGGTTGTGCAGGGGACTGTTTTTGAGGCCCCGATGCTGAGGATGCTTCAGTGGGGGGTGGTGGCGGTGGTGGCAGTGGTGGAGCGGTGGCTGTTGGCGGAGTAATGTGAGTGACTGGTGTGGCAGTTGCAACGGTGATGGCCGGTGGAGAGGTCCCCTGAGTTGGATTGACTGAGGTGGGGACGTTGGGGGCTCCAGGTGCGGGTGGTGTAAGTGCGGCTGCGGGAGAAATTGGATCGTCTGAGACAGTGGTGGTTGGGGCTGATGTTTGGTGCGGCGATGGGTGAGCCACCGACGGAAAGAGGGAGAAAGGCTGCCAAACGCCCGGAGATTGGTCCCAAGGAACGGGAACCTGTTGGGTCGGTGGTTGCAGTGGGGTTGCCTGGGGCGCTGGAGGGGCTGATGACGCTGGTAGTGCATGTGGTAAAGAGGGTGGATGAGATAGAGGTTGTGTGGGCAGGGTCTCAAATGCCTGCGGCTGAGGTGGTGCTGGGTATGCGTGTGCGGGAGTCACAAAGGTTGGTACTGGTGGAGAATGTGTTGGCATGGGATGTGGCCACATATGAGGTGGTGGCTGTGGTGCAGTGGTCTGAAAGTGAGGAATAAAGGTCTGCTGTGGTGGGTGGGACAAAACGGTAGGACCAGGTGCCGTTGGTGGAGAATGGTGCCATGGCGGTGGCTGAGTGTTGACTGTGGGTATCGAGGGTGCGGTGCACGGTGGTGGCCAGTGTGGATAAGGCCAGGGGTACTGCATGTAGAGAAGCCAGTCCAAGAGGCTGCGAGAAATGGCGCCGGCGCGGCACAGCAGCTGAAATGAAAAGTTGGAAGTACTGGTGAAGTGTGGAGCCTGAATTCATCTGCAGTGAAGTAAGGTGAACTCGTGGCATGCAATGCAATTCCTGCGGTCTGTGGAGTGGTGTAGAGCATGTGGAAGCTGATCAAACGGCTGCGGATTAAAATTTGTGAAGGTTGGGAAAAAACGCACAATGCACAAACCTGATATCATGACGTGGCAATACCGAAGGAGTTCAGAGATTCTGGTGGGAAATCCATCGTTTATAGCCCGGCGGCTCGAAAATCAGGAAATTCAGGGATAAAATGGAAACCGTGGAATCAGTTATGGAAGTGGCGAACTGTGAATTCCTGCATGGCTTCAGCGCCTCCTTTCGGAGGGTCACACCCAGCACCCACGTGGGAAGACTGAGCGGTCCAGTGGGAAGGAAGGTGAGGGAACGGAAAGGCGCAGAAGTCCGCAAAAAACCGTATGGTTGAACAATGTTTCGACAAGTGTGCAGTGGCGAGCCTCTGTACAATTCAGCTGCATGAGAAAGTGGAAAGGTTTAAGGGAAGTATCATGAAGAACCATGAATCAAATCGTGGAAGAGTAGGGTGGACAGCTTGTGCAAAAGTTGTGTGGCAGGTACACACCAAAGCGTCCTTTGGTGCTTCCCCTCCAGCGACTTAGCTTCGTTGGGCAAGGTTCGTCGCCGGAGGCCTTGCCCCCCTGCCGTTGATAGAAAGTCTCGGTGGTGGTGGAAAAGTAAAGTAAAGCAGGTGGAAGCCCTTAGAACCAGGGTGTGACACACACACACACACACGTGCTTCATATCATACCCCAACTCCAATCATGTCACACATGTGCTGGTTTTCATACACTGTAAACGTTTGGCAAGCCTGCTTGATGCACCCCGACTTTAAGGCCTGTGGAGCCGACAGCGGAACGTCCGTGGGCACGGCAAGGAGGGGTGGGGGTGCTGCTGTCGCTGTTGTTTGGTGTCGGATGGGGGGGAACGATCCACAAGCAAAACAAAAAGGTGAGATGAAATGACGCGCAGTGCCAGGGTGTGAGAGGGATTTTCTCCCAAGTGCGGTCGGGCTGCTAGAAAAGATGCGGGGTGGCTGTTGGCAAAAAAACAGGGGATGTTTTTAAAACGTTCTCGCGGAATAGATTCATCTATACATTGACAAAGACGTTTTTGGATGGTCCATTTAAGGGACAGGTGCAATTTTTGTACCATCTCTTTCTTCCGTTGCTTTGTTTGTTTCCATTTGGGGTTCTTGGCTTCAACCACAGGAGACAAAGATCAGCAACCTCGTCGGCTGCGGCCGTGGTGCCCAGAATGCCGCCGCATCGCGACAGGATGATGCTGTTTGAAACGGTGCCGGTCGAGTCGACTTGAGCATTCTATTTTTTAGGGGATTCTCCTTTTTGTTTCGTGATTTCAACATGCTACACTTCCATTCTGGAGGTTTCCTCGTAAGCTCTACTTTGAACAGAGTCACAGCCCCTCACGCGACCATCTGTAGAGCAGAACCCTTTTTGGGAGGAAACCCGTCCAGTCCCTCAAAAGCAACATCCTTCGTCAAAACCCAAGGATTGCAGATACGCCAAATGAGTTCTCTGAAGGGCACGTACTCAAATATTATCCACAAAAAAGGTGTTGGATAGATTGGAGCCGTCACAAGTATAGAGGGGATTATATATGGAATTCAAACCACTTTGTCGTTGTGCCAGGACCTGTCACAATACAATATTCCAACTTCACAAGCCTGGCAACCTCGTCCTTTGCCATTCGAGTAAAGGAGACAGCAACAAGGACAAACTTCATGCCCTGGCCATGTGTACTGTATTGATGAACCCCAAAGATTCTTTGCAAAAGCACCACCTCGCCGGGACCACCCCTTCCCAAATACAACTTTGGCAGAACACTTGATAACGATAAGCCGTGCCAGATATGCTCAGCTAGGGAAAGATCAAAAGCAACACCTCCACGCTCTCCGCACAGGGTCCCACCTCATTTGGTCCAGGTGTCTCGCTCCTTCAGCCGTCGTTAGGTGTCTCCTTCCTTAGCGTGGGCTACGACTGGTTCTTCAGCTGGACACTCTATAGGACTCTGCTCCGGCCGCGGAACGGCGGTTCTTGGTTCCCGGTGAGATAGTGGGCTTCAGCTTTGGGAGGACCTTTTTCAGGCGCATCGACCGGGTGCGTTTCACCCAGGTGGCCTCCGAACTGTTCTGTTGCGTTTTGGTTTTGTAGGCCCCCAGAGTCCGATAAATCTGGTTGTGTCGGCTTGAAGATGACAAGACCTGAACTTTTCACCAACTTGTTGGGTGAGGCCACGGGTCATCAAGATGGATCTAGCTGCAGGCTGCAGATGTCCATACATATATATATATATATACTTGTTTCCCATTGAAGGAGCCTGAGAAGGGTCCACCAACGGCTGAGGTGTTCAGTGAAGTGAGTACTCGCCCATGGAAACGATCAGGGCCCAATGCACCCTTGCAATAATGTGTGGTGTGTGCAGAGACGACGCTGGACGTCGAAACGTTGAAAGACCACCTCAAGGTGAGTCTCAAAGTGCTCCAAGATCAAGATTTCGATGGATTTCTTTTCCTTTGTTTATGGAAAATGCTTTCTATGGACTTCTTTTCTGTATCTCTTTCCCCTGATTCCCTCCGGTCCACCCCCCCCTCACCGTTTCGCGCCGCACCCGCCGCGTTTTCTCGCGCCCCAAAAATGTCCGCCCAGCGACATGCCACGTTTCATGGTGGGCCGTGGTGCCCCGGGGGGGTCCGGGGGCCCAGAGAGGCGGTGTCAACGGGGTTTCGAGTCAAAGAAGCCAGGGGATGCCTTCATGCTCAACTTCTTTGTAACATGAACACATGATGCAAGCACCCAGCATGGCAGAAAAGTACTTGTCAGAGTGCATAGAATAGACTAGGTATGAATGTGTGGGCCAAAGCAACCCTGGTGAATCCAGTGTTGGTGCCTTCTGAGCGCATTGTCTAAGAATCACCTGGAATCTCTAGAATTGTACTTCTGCCATGTGCAGTTGAATTCTACTTCCACCACATCTGATCACCGGCGTCTTAACCCGTCCTTGTGTTTCTGATGGCCTCTAATCAAACGTGGTTCCAGCCATTGCATTTGCTGAGGCGCGCCTCGTACTCCGGGCTCCCCAAGGACTGGAATGACTGGAAACTGACTTGGTGTTCGTTGGATTCTGGTGTTTGACTTGCTGGTCTGTGGGTTTTGTACGAGAGTTGTGGCAAGGTATCTCAAGTGTTGGTTTCTTTTTCACCGACGCCGTCAGAAGGATCTTCCAACCGAGCCATCGGACCGGGTATCCGGGTATGGACGACTGGTGTTTGCTTGGATCGATGCCGGAACGGAGCAGCATCCTCTGTGTCGATTTGAAGAGACACATTATTCTCAGCGCATCTAAGCAGGGAAGAGTGAAGAATCGAATCCTTTGACTCATCCCACCGGCCCCCTCGTGGTCCCATTTCCTTCCAGTCCGGTCCCATGACCAACCTGGGACAAATGAATTGAGACCATTTGTATCAGTTTCCCACACAGCAAATTGCTAACTACAGACCAGAATCCATGAGAAAAAGACTTCAACTTCTCTGGATTTTTTTGGATGCTTTGCTCACGCTTGTGCTAGCCGGGTAACAACCTACCGCCTGAGTCGTGCACTTTTGTGCAAAGTACAAATCATCCTTCCTATTTTGTTGTCATTCCTCGTCCAAGTCCGCACCTTGTCTCATTTTCACTGTGGTGGGTAGTGGGATTGCGTGGGGCTAGTTGCTTCTTTGCCACAAGCAACTTTCACAGTTTTTGAACTCTGTTGACCTCGTTTCGCTAAGTATGCACACTTTTGACTTCCAGTGGTAACGTAAGCTCTCAGTTGTTCAAGTGCTTGCAATGATGTTGTTGGAGGTGGGAACACACCTGTAAAGGTTCTATAGCATGAACACAGTTAGACCAGTCAAAATGAAAATATCTATGGTAATTGCTTCATTCTCAGGTGTCAACATGTCAGTCAGTAAAGTTTTCCACAAATTCCAAAAGGCTTAGGCAGGGCCTCAAAACAACTGTGCAGTTTCCAGTGATTAATTTTCAAAAGGATAATTTTGCAACAGTAAACGTGAATTTGACATGAACGGTAATGGAGAGGCAAAGCCAAAGAACGCATGTCTTGGAATTCGCGCGGTCCAAAACATGTATAGATTTGGCACATTTGTTCGGATGTGTAACAAAGGTTCACACTCCAAAAACGCAGGCCAAACTCTTCACCTGGCAGGATCTTCTTGCATTTTTTTGGTATGGTATAACGTACGGTATGCATAACAGAAGGTTACAGATTGGCAAAAGGGAAAACTGGTTAAACATAAGAGTTTTTGCTAGTGACACTTTACGGAATCTTACGGCATGTGTGACGTTCAGTTCTTTCAGATGTCTTCCACCCGTTTTTCGAGGCTCGGGAGCACCACAAAGGTGACGGGCCTAAGGTGGCGCGGACGGGCGTCCTGAACGTCTTGACCCTCCAATTTGACCGTTGAACGTGGCCATGGGACTGACCGCTTGGAGCGAAGAGGTCCGTTGGTCACGAAGAGACTCATGTTCAAGAGTGGAACAAGTGTTGGAATTATATATCAACTCTTCTTTGTTGCTTCTTCGTCACTTGTGTGTACGTTGAGCTTGGCTACCATGGCCTTGTTGACCATGCCTTTCGAGCAATTTTCTACAAGGTGATCATCGGAAGGGATAGTCAAACAAACCTTCCTCGCCGTCCTAATGTGCGTGCGGGGTTGGGCCTAGGGATGGGCACCAAAAAGCATGAACATTCACCAGACCGAAAGAGACCTGGTACCAAGTAGTGAAGCCAAGTAGAGCGTCTCGGAGTTGAAGAGATTCCACGCTTGCGGAACCCTGCTGTTTCATTTGATGAGGAACCTCCCTGTCACGCTCTGAGACTGATGGGACTCCAGGTTTTTCGAAGACCGGAGACGGGATTCTTTGGACTCCGAACAGGCCCGTTCCGCCTATAGATGCGGGCGACCGCATTTGGCGCTCCTCGGCGATGTCCCGTTCGGCCGTCGGAGAGGATGGTGCCACCGAAGTCACGGTGGATCTGTCCCCCAAAAGATGTGCGTCCATAGTGACCTTCATCCTAAGTTAATCCAAAAAGCAAAGAGACCAGTCGAATGAGTGTGACACATCATTATGATTCTTATCTGGGGCCTTTGCTGGGCCGAAGCCCAGGGCGCTGAGAGCCATGGAACCCAATCATGGGGTCAGAGAGATCAAAGGGCTCCTGTGCTACAGCTTCCCAATCTGTTTGGGGGATCTTGGTGGTGACTATGATCTCCCATATCCCAAGCCGAGCCGAGCGCCAAAGCACTCTGAAAATGTTGATACTCCACCACATTTGTCATGCACACGACCAATGGCTACCCGGGCTTGAACATGCGGAGAGCTTCTCAAACCAGCTTTTTGCATCCTTTTGCTTTCTTGCTGCAGCTCTATTTTGGTTCTACATGCTCTATTTGGGTTCTATATAATATGCTTAATTATATGATATTAATTTGTTGACTTCTCCAAGTCCTTCGGCCTTTGACCCTTCGCCTTCGCTCTTCGGTCCTCCCAGGTGCGCCGCGCCAAGAAGAAGCACCACGCCCTCCGGACGGTCACCAAGAACAATGAGCACGGCCCCGGACGCCCAGTGTTTTCGTCGTTCGGTCGGGTGTTTTTCGGTCGGTCCGACGGTCGTTCGGTCTCTGAAGCGAGGGCGGGGTGAGGGCAGGGAGGGTTCAAGGAGTTCGACTTCGAGTCAGCTGTCGCGTGCTGTCGTTGGTGAGGTTTGTTGCGTTTTTTCGGGGTTTCGGGGTTTAGGCAAGGATCTGAGATCTGGCAGTCCCTGGGGTTCTGGGCACAAGGGGGTTCGCCTCATGGGTTCGGTTCGGGTACTACGGGATGTGAGGACTCGACATGAGCCTGTGTGGATTTGGTGAAGCACCCTGCTAGGCAGCGAATTCGTTCTGGGGAAGGAAGTTGTTTTCTCCGAAAGGGTCTTTGTCACTTAGGTTTTTGCTGAACATGTCCCATGTGGTGCAGGATTTCTCCCATCCATAGTGGTTTCGCCAGGTCAAAGAGTTCGGTTTGCACAATATAATTGGGTTATGGTTGGCTCATTAGATGAGCGACCAAGTTGACTTCCCTCCAGATGTCCATGAGGACTTCCACGTAAAGACTCAGGCTCTCTATGATGTGGGAAAAATGAACATTTTGGTGCTGTGCCCGTGCCCTGCTCATTCTTTGCACCAGGTCCTTTTGGGATATTGCATGGCACACAAAACATCAAACACATTCAAACACCCCGAAAAAGCTTCAAACAAAGCCAACAAATGACCCAACCAAGCCAACTGAACAAACAAAAACTTCTCCTTCTGCCCCCCAACGGCGGCCGAGCGGTGCTTGAACGAACCCCGTCAGGCAATGGTCGCCCTGTGGAGGGCTTCGAGGTCGGGAGCCTTTCGTTGGCTCGCGAGATGACCCATTGGCAACGGAACCAACCGGGTGAACTTCTCTTAGCAAAGAAAGAAAAGAAGAGTCCTCTGAACAAAGAGAATGCCAGAGTTGATGTATATATTAATACGTTTAGGACCCCTGTGACTTCTGAACAGAAGACGATTCAGAAACTGGCTCCGATTCAGAAACTACGATTCAGAAACTTGCGATTCTGAAACTACAGAGTGTCCCGATTCAGAAAGGGGTGGGGTGGGGATCTTGTTGATGTAGCGTGGACATATTCGTATTTCACAGACCCGATTCAGCAACTATCCGATTCAGACCCGTTCTAGTTTCCGAATCCGCGCTCCTTCTATTTTTCGAATCCTAGTTTCCGAATCCGCCGTTCTAGTTTCCGAATCCTAGTTTTCGAATCCGCACCGTGCCTTAGTTTCCGAATCCGTGGCAACCCTAGTTTCCGAATCCGCAGTTCTAGTTTCCGAATCCGCCGTTGACCCTTCTGACTTCTCCTGAGTGGAGCATGAGGGAATGAACTGCAGCTTGGTGTCCAACTCGTGAGAAGTTCGCCAAACTGCAAGGCATTCCTTGATTGCTTGGGGTCATTGGCCTTCCTGGCAGTTCCAACCGTCCCTTAGCCTTTGGTGATCAATCTCGCTGATGACGCCCAGGTGGAGTTCGAACAGCTGCTGCGAGAGATGGCCGAAGGAGCGAGCGCGGTCGCGGTCGCGGATCGGTCAGTCCGACGCGATGGGGTGAGCACATACTGTTTGCGAGTTATCTTAATTCAAACATAGCTTTTGGATTAAGATCATGAATCGATATGTATATAATATGATATATATATGATAATATATATATATATATTATATATTATATGTTATATTATGTTATATTATAGTATATTATATTGTATTATATTATTTTATATCATATTATACTATACTATACTATACTGTATACTTTATACTTTATACTATATACTATATACTATATACTATACTATACTATACTATACGATACCATATATACATGAGTCATAGGAACACACGGGCTTTTCTTCATCACTAGGACTTGGCAAATTTCAGAAGCGTTTCGTTTCGTTGTGATTCTAGCTGGCTGCTGGCTGGTAGCACTTGTTCTGGTTTTTGTTTGGAGATGAGCGAAGCATGGCCAGAGGTCACCACAAGCGCAGTGGGGAGGACGATGGAAGACACCTTGACCACCTGAGCTCTTTTTTGCAAAACGCTTGCACTGAACATACGTGAGGCAATTTAGATTGAAAGGTAGACTACGCGGCCACGCTGGCTACGCGATAAACGGACATTCGCGGAAGGCTATGCGCGGACTGCGCGGACTGCCTACGTGGACCATTTTCAGCAAAGAACGTGGCTCACCTGAGATCTGACAGACCCTACTATTGAGGTACTGGTCCTTAAGAGGTACCATTGGTGGGAGAAGCACTTACAATAGGGCTTATCAATTCCTCACCCGATCTGACTGGAGGATCAAATCGTGGATCGAGTCTATACTGGTCTTTAAAGCCCTACGGTTGGTGGACAAGTTGCGCAAACGGATTGCCGGACACCCGGCATTCCGGAATCGACGGGTGGAAAGCAACGGAGGACAGGTTTACCCGTCCACTGGTCGAAACGGGTTTGCGTGGCGTGCCGTTTTTCGGGCAGAATGCAGGCTCACCCAAGCGCGGTGAATTGAATTTCGACAGCGGTTTTTTTGAAGTTCAGGACTTCCTCCTTCAGCGCCAGGCGGGGCCGAGCACTGGTGGGCCGAAAAGTCGACGCGCCATGTCTCCATGAAAACGGTTGACTGTAGACGAGCTAGCAAAAGCATTTTCCTTTTGTGGTCGAGGTGCGTCCGCGCTCTCCAAATAAATGCAAACACGTTATATAACTATTTGTGGCAGCTTGACATGTTAGGCTTTAGTGTCCTTGCCCACATGTTTGGTTTGAGAGACATGTTTAAGCCTCGCCGTGATGGTTTTCAACGCATCCGGTTCGGCGATCATCTTGCTTTCCTTCCTTCGCCCGGCGAGAGTGCCCGGATGTAGAACGTCTTCGAGAGGATCTTATGACCTTGAAGCTCAGATGGCTAGAGACATCAGAGTTTGGATTTACGACCTTTCTTCATGAGGCTACTTGCCAGTTCACTAAGACTTATGTACTTGCCCAGTGAATAGTGGTGAATGTTCCCCCGAAAAGTCTTCTTTGTTCGGTCCCTACATCTCCACCACTCACCATGGAAGGCTGGTAATGGGTTTTGCCTTTCTTTTGGTTAGAACATCGAAAAACCAATCAGACCAATTCAGTGCAAATCGTCCGTGAAGCTACAACCTGGATGGACAGTCCATGGAGTCCACCCGACAGTTGCAGGTTTGGCACCAGTGCAGGAAAATCCTGCACCCGACAGGCACTTTTTTGGGGCTGATTGGAAGGAGTCAGGGAAGTGTGCCCAGGAGCTTCTTGGGAGGCTCAACCTACCACAGAGATCCTGCTGCTTGTCAAGGTCAAGCACGACGTGGATTCTGTTTTTCTTTTTATGCAACTGTAATCAGCCATTCAACAAGGATGTTTAGTATGTTGCTTGCCTTTGAACTCCACTGAATCTCGACACTGACACGCGACTTGCGTCTGAGATGTTTCGGTGAAGGCCATGGGGTGTCTCACAGGGAGGGGTGTCTCCACAGAAGGCATCGACAAACATAAGAAAACATATATACACAATCACCGTGCTACAGACAGAAGGAGAACATGTTTCTGACACCTCACCTTCTTGTTACAAATAACTTCCATGACAATGGTGTGGCACGCCTTGAAATTCATGATGTTCGAAGATGAGAAAGTGCAAGACACAGACAACAAGCACTACCACTCATCATGACCTACCAAAGCTGTTGCCTGTGATACATGCTTCTGAGACATGAGGGAAGCTGGGCAATCGGTTTTCTGGGGCGGCTTAGGGGGGACCAACGGTGCTCTACCGAACCTGTGGCGCTCTCTCCGGCGCCAACGGGCGCCTCGGCACCTCGTCCCAGACGCTCGCCCGGCTGGAACTCCGATGAGCCCAACAAGCCGCTGTGCTTTGGCCAAAGGTCGGTGCCGGTGGAGCGGTCGGTGGACGAAAACGTCCAGGGACCAGAAATGAGGAGAAGTCGTTCTTCATCGTTGCGAGTCATTTTTGTGTGGGGTGGTTTAGACATCATGGACAATATTGAAATAGTAGTTCCCACCCTCTAAGGGTGAGATCTTAGAGTTCGGTGGTGTGAAGATCATGGACCTGACATATGATACATACTGTAGATTATTTTTCAATGTTACCATGATTGGGTGTACCCATGGGGTGCTTTTGCTCCACCAAGCATCATCCACCGGCTCTTCCACCGGGTGCTGTGAGGCCGAAGCTCTCCTGCATGCTGCACCCACAACAACCGTCCAAGGCGTTGTCGGACGTCGGACGAGAAGCGACTTGATCCGGCTGAGCGACTGGTGATGTGCCACACGACTGGGCACCTCACTGCGCCAGGCGGTGTGGGATGTGCTCATCTCGGGCCTAATCATTTATTCGGCGCGGAACCTCTGGAGAGCCGAATGACTGGCACAAATGGATGGCAGACATCGTGTGGATTGGAGCGATTGCTACAACTGGGCCCAAGATAGAGAGGTTGAGTCAAAGCATTGTGTATATTGAGTTAAGTTTGCCAAGAGTTAGCATAGTTTCCACACGGGAAACCCTAGAGACAAGAGTCTGTTTTCCCAACTTGAACGAGAATCTGCTGTGACGGAATCTTTTTTTAATGAGGAATGGCCAGAGGGTCTTCCTGGGTGGGAAGACTGTCTGATGCCTTGCACCACCAGGTGTTGGTGGAGCCCTTCCGTTTTTGCTTCCACGTGGAGGTCGATGTCCCTACCATGGTGCGGAGCCTGGCGGGGCTGTGTGGAGAGGGAGATGGGCTCCTGGAGGGTCGGATGTTGCAACAGAAGAGGACGACTTTCCATTGAGACAGGGGTCTGTTGCAGGGGTCTGTTGCCATGTGAAAACCAGACCTGGATGTTGGATCTACACCCGTATCAGCCGGAGTAGCTGGCTGAGCGACTCGCAAAAACACGAGTTCTCGCAGCCTGTCTAGCTTCAAAAATCCAAATGGGGAGCCCCCTCCCAACAAGGCCCGATGAACTCTTCATGGTTGGAAAAAAGTAACATAATCTCGAATCCAAACAGGAATTCTTGATCTTTCTTGAGCAGCCTGATCGAAGAGATTCCCAGAGTCAGTTTTGGTCGCCATCTGATCCACGAACTTGGGCTTGTTTTGATTTGCCAGGTTGAAAAGGGCATGGCATGGAAAGGCAAACGCAGAGAACCTGATGGGACACCAAACATGGGTGTATCAATTCATGAGTTGCCAAGCTTGCACAATCGATTCTTTTGCCCTATGTCACATCGGCTGTCATACGGCATAGGACCACAAAAGTTCTTGCTGTAAGAGACAAGAACACCCCCGCATGGCAAAGTGGGTTCATGTGGGTTCTACATTTGGTCACCATTGCTTCGACGGCAGCTCGGAATTGAGGTGATTGACATCCTGGTGGATCTCTTATTCGTTTCAGACATTGCTCGGGGGTCTCAGACTCGAAAAATATGTTCTTCTTGGTTGCGGGTAGAAGATTTTGATGCGAATTTGAGTCGGGACCGGAATTGAAAGAGTGGTGCTTCTATGTGTTGCTGAATGTTTCTGCTATCAGATAGCTATCAAGTAGATGTTCTCTTTGGGCTTTGCCTAGCACCAGGCAAAGGCGAAGTCACAGTGAGAAACATCCACAGGCTTATCCTCCCTCCAACAATCATGGAAGTGGAACGCGTTTTTCTTTTCCACGTTGAATGTTTGTTGGATGGAGACAATAGGAGGGTGTGGCTCGTCATGCAGGCCAGCCGGACCCACGTGGACATGTTTTATTCCGCGTCTGAAAGACAAGCATGTCGTTCAGAGCCAGGTGGTTCAGAGGAGGATCAAAGTCCAGTATCGCACTGCCCAGTACAGTCACACCAAAGTTGATAGACACAGTCAATTCCAGTCCAAGAAGCTGCATTCGAAACCGCAAAGCGTTCTAGCAGTTTGTATAGACAAATTTCATGTCGAGCGGACCAAGTTTCAGCAGGGTACCACGGTCCTGTTGTGTGGCTCAATTTCATGAGATACTTTCCAACCCTATAGTCAAAAGGGAGGCCAAAGACCAAGACTTGCACGTCTCTGGTCTCTTGGACTTTCCACGTTCAAGACCAAAATCCACACCCATCTACTGAGGTATCCATTTTTTTCACTGCTTACTACGATGAACGGGAGGCCGAGATCTTGGGAACGAACAGTTCAGGACGCGGTCCGGATGAAACTTGGAGCGGCCGGGCTTCATTTCGGTATGGCGAAAGGATCTGAATCCCCAGTTAGACCAGGCAGACCCTGACGACATCCAGCGACATCCACACACTTTTGCTGGCCTGATCTTTATCCATGCAGGTTCCTCATGCCGCAAAGAACAGCACGAAGGGTACCAGGGTATCGACATGATGGGATTTGAATAGATTACTTCATCGTCAAGACACAAAGGTATCATCCACCTCATCTATACCTGTGATCCACCTCCATGAGGTGAATCCTCTTGTTTTTCCACCGACATGGAATGCCCCACGTACCGCGCCTCTTCTGTGCAGCCACCGAAACAAAACACACCGTCGTGCTACTTCTCTTATCCACTCCCCAAAAACCCGATTGGCGACCCGAAGAGAACAGGGTGCAAAGGGTTTGGAAGATCACGGTCCAAAGCAGTGCATGTTTTTTTCCTTTTTTTTTTCCGAAAAAGAAAGACACCGATTGAACTGAACTCTGCAGCCTGACAGATCCACTATCAGACCGACTTCCGTTTTGTACTATCAGACCGACCTATATTAGCCTACTGCTATTAATATTTATCAATCAAGTACATGTTATATATATATATGAACCCAGTGTGGCTTATTCTTTCGCTCTGGCACCGACCGCTGGAGTTGCCTCACAGGCTCTAGTCACCGACCGCTGGATGATAGCGAGGCGCGCATGATCGGTGGCAGGTCACCAGCACTTTTGGGGGCAGGGGAGGCGGCTTTGCAGCTGCACCAAACAGGAGAACTAAGTCACTTTGTAACTTCATTTTTGTAGTGAATGGCAGTGAATGGGGGGTTTCGAATACATACACACCAATCAGTTGATTGGGATATCCATCCTCCTTTCTTTCCAATGGTACCGAAGACAGTATCGAAAGCTGCAACCAGTTTTATCGCCTTAAACAAACATCTGGAAACTGTGCAATTTGCAAAACTTCGTGGCAATCGCTGGCCCTTTTGTTTCACTTGGAGAAGCTCAGTTTGGAAGATACCTGGTTCGCTTGGTTCATAGCAGTGTTGGGTGGGTTCGGAAGAAGCTGGAAGAAATCGACACGACGAAAGGCCATCGTTACTTACAATCAAAGTTCCACGTATCTTTCTCCGGAGATGAAATGAGGTTAATATTCTTTTGAAGAGATTTCCACGGCTTGGACACCGGGCCCCCCCAAACAATGACATCCCTATTTCGGTCGGTCTTTTAGCTTGAACAAATCAATCCCCGTCAGTCGCACTGATGAAGTGACGCAAGAGCAGACTTGCCAGGAGATATTTGCTCGGGTTCTTTGTTGTAGATGTGCCACGGATGCAAGTTTCTCAGGCGGCTCTCTCAAACCGGGCACCACTCTGGGCTTACGAGGTTTGCATTCCTGCCAGCGGCGGTTGGACTTGTCTCCTTCAACATCCCCAAAAGCTGGCATTGGCTGAAATGGATTTACACAAAAATGGATATGGAAGAGAAAGATGTGACCTTAGTAAAAGGAAGAATAGATTACACTCATGATGAGACCCTGAAGCCAACATCGACTGCGGTACCCAGCACCAGGTCGCTGTTTTGATTCTCACATTTGTCAGAAATCCTGGGGGGGGAGGGTGGCAGTTTAACAAGCAAGCAACTTGCACATTCTTCATTTCGACTGCCTAAGTGTGCTGCTGGTTGTCTCCAGGCGATTCCCCGTACATCTTTTGTCTTTCCAAAATGGAGACAGCCAGAGGTAGTTGAATTGTGGAACGCGCTCCCGAGCTGCGCCAGTTACAAATCTAACATGAGGAGTCCCAAGTCCGCTGTGTACTGCCTGAGCCTCACAACTAAGGTGATCTCTGTATTTCCTGGAGAGCTTTTGGTGATGCTGATCGAGCAGCTTGGCCATCTAGCTGGGCGCTTTTGGAGCATGTCCTGGAGCATTTTTTGGGCGACGTTGATCGGTAGAAGCTCCCATGGGACTCTTTGAAGAGTTTGGCTGAGCTCCCTCGAATGACTTGCCTGCCAGGCCAGAGCTGGCCTCTCAAGCGAGGGTCGTGAAGCTCCTGAGGTGTGGGAACAGCGGGGCGGGGCACGCGAAAAGCTTGCGGGAGAGAAAAGGGACATAGAAAAGAACAGGATCAAGGTCTATTAGGTGAACAAGTTTTATTCACCCTCCAATCCTTTCTTCAATCTTCAGGTTCTCATGAAAGAAGGAGTGCGGGGGACCCTTGAAGGGGAGATCCCGCGTTGAAATTTGGCCCATTTGGGCCAACACCTTGCTGCGCGCACCTTCGACTCCCTCCGCCAGGCTCGTAAGGCTTGGGCGGCTCTTTAAGCTCAAGCGCTTGTGCGGGAGCTGAGATTCTGGAGGTTTGCCGGGCGACACGCGAGGTATTTCTTCCGTGTGTGCTGCAGGTGCCTTGCGTGCCTTGTGTGCTCGGGCAAAACCAGGTTTTGGAAACGCTTCGGTATGGGGGACGTTGGCATCACCTTCTAGTCTAGTAGACTTGTGTCATATTGACCGTACCGTACACCCCTATTTTTCGGCAGCTTCCTCAGCAAGGCCATCACTTCTGTTTTGTTCGGGCATGACCATGGCCATTGTGGGAGTAGGGGTTTTAGCTCTAGCTGGTGGTCTTGCAACCCGAATTCTGCATGATTTGGGCATCAGTTTGGATTTCAGCTTGAACAGTGAAGTGCTCAATTCCTGGACTTCCCTTGCATATAGTTACCATCACCGTTTTTGACCTTCATGCCTGTTGATCTGATCTCCAACACCTCCAAATGTGCATCTCGATGTCTTGTTCTGGTCTATGAGTTTTGCACAACGCTGCCTTGATCCTCGCTGCCGGTGATCCGACAAAAACTCTTCCAAACCCCTGACGTGCAGATGAGCAGATGTCTTGAGCGGCAGGCAGCGGAACCATTCTGAACCATTTTGTCACTGGATACATTTTAAAGACAGCTGGATCAACGTCGACCAGTTGCAGTGTGACTCTGAAGGGTGATGATGATCAGCGGTTAATTTCTTCATGAGTCTCCATCCCTCTTCAACTTCTTGCGTTGCCTCCCCTCGCTCTGGGCACCCCGGTGAGCTCACCCCTTTTCTGCCGGTGGGTCTCACCGCGCGCAATGATCGCGAGAATCTTTGGTTGCTCAGGTTGCTTCTCATAGAGGAGAAACTTCACATTACTTTGCAGATGTGCGGACCTTGGCGCGGACGGTAGACAGGTGTTCATGAGAGACCGATGGAGAGTGGTTGAGCAGCACGGTTCAGCACGAAAGAAGTCATGGGAGAATCATCGACTCTATCCGTTTCTTCAAGGGTTGAGATCCTTAAGATTCTGACTCTCAGGGTTAGATCCATGAAGGGTGTAGCAGAAAGAACGGTTTGAAAGGTGTCCTTTTGGGGCTCTCAGGACCTCAGTGATGATTTCCAACCTAATAGCGATGGCTTCCAACCCAATAGCCATGGCCTGCCCAGTAGCGATGGCCTCCAACCGAATAGCGATTCGGCCTCCAACCTAATGGCGATGGCCAAATGGCGACGGCCTCCAACCTGATGGCGATGGCCTCCAAACTAGTAGCGACCGCTGGACTGAGGATGGAGATGCTGAAAATGCTCTTGAAGGTCCTTTTTATTGTGCACCTTTTGGCCTGCCTCACGCGGGGATGCCCGACCGAGTACAGGCTGAAAGCACAGGTTGGGGTGTCAGGCGTCAGGAAAGATGCCAAGTCGAGGTTGTTTGGATTCAGCACCAAGTTGAACATTTGGATGCAGTCGGGTGGATATAACGAAGTCTCTTGCGGATCCCTTAGCAACTCTGCACTTTGATCCTCAACCACCCCAATGCCCCGAAAAAAGAACGCGGCACCAGCCCTTTTTGGTTCCCGCGTGGCGGCTCTTGGACCATCCCAAAGGAGCTCGTCCAAAAACGCTGAAACGTTGTAGGTTGAAGGCCATACTAGGGTGGAGCCATCGCTAGTAGGTTGGAGGCCGGCCATCGCTAGTAGGGTGCTTTCAGAAGGGTTGCCGTGGCGTTGAGGTTCCTGGTGGCCACGCCCATTTGTCCTGATGGCATGGGCCCATGCCGGCCGCGGTCCGATGAGCTGGAGCTCCTTGGCAAGACGTTGGAACGGTTTTGCGCGTGGGGACCGGTGGTTTGGGGATGAAGATTAAAAGGCCAATGTAGCTTTTGGACTAGAGGTTCCACCGCAGCATAAATGCCATGATTCCTGACACTGTCTATCTTTGCAAGAATGCCCTGAACATCATTTCTCTATATATTTGATGTATTTGTGTACCTAGAATCTAGAACCAATTTGACTCCCTTTTTGGACTACCAATGGTTACCGACCACCCCTTTTCCTATCAAAAACATGTGTCACCCTGGTTGATTTGGGTATGTCTACGTGGTCGATGTGTACATATTGGCAGAAAAGCTTGTTGAAGCCAGATGTGGTCTATGATCATAGTCTATGTGGTCTATGTGGCAAGCCGCGTGATGACTTGCTGAACCTTGCCGGTCGACCGTGGCCGGGTCTCCAACACCCACCGCCCAATGGCTCCGCCCAATGGCTGCGGTGGCCAATTTTTCCGCCCAGTTTTTGGAGCAATTGGGTGCGGATGTTTCAGATTGATGAGTTCAACTTGATGCCCGGAACCCCAGGGAGGTGGAAAAGCCTCATTGCTTTATTTTTGAGGTGATTTTGGCTTTGGCTGAGGCTCAATTTGTCAGGAATCGGGTGGACCCTTAAACTTCAAGAAGCTTTTGGTGCTTTCTTTTTCCATTACTGTAGCAGTCTGATGGCCATTTTCAGTGTTGAAAGATGGTTGCTTTGACTGGGGTTGACTGGCAGAGAGTGGCTTGGGGAATTCATGGTCACCACTTTGTCCTCACTTGATGTCTCCCACAAACCAGACTTTCAGTTGATGGGGAACCTGGGAGCTTTCCAGGACCTTTGATGCATGGACTCAGCATGGGCCTTTAACCCTCTTCTTTGGGTTCCAAGCGGAGGAACCGCATGAAACAGAGTTGAGACCTGCCAAACGGGACTCCGCCTCCGTCATCCGCGGTGCGGGTGAACTGCAACAGCGGTTTTTCTGCGTCGATGTTTCGTCGACCTCTGAGGGTGCCCTCTCCGTGTTTCGTCGATGTTTGGATCGGGAAGGTTCAGAGATAGAGAGAGACTCAGAGGATGGCTCTCACGCTGCATGGGAAAGAGTGGTCATTTTCTGTCTCAGAGTGTTGTCATTTTGGACAGCACATTCCTGAACACATCTTGGGATCCATGGCTTGAAATTCGGAAGACCTGAGATATTCCCAGAGATAACACTTGGGTACCGTCCCATTGTCTTTCTACATCCCCTTTTAGATGTATCCAATTATCCTGCATCTATCATAGAATTGGGTTATATACAGAATGATATAATATTGATCGTAGTTTCGGGCAGGACAACGTGAGTTCGCACTTGCAAAGTATGCCTAAGATTTGGGTAATCTCACAGTAGTTGTTATTGCGATAAAGCATTTTGATGCGGTAATGTGTAATGTAATGTATATAGTAGGATATTCACAGACAAACGATGAGTGAGGACTTTGCTCTTGAGGGGCCCATTGAGGGGGAAACTCCACCCTTCATTTTGTCGTGGCCTGAGGACCAGATATTTGAGCAGCTTCCATTTCATCACCGCCACATTGATGGCGAGCGGCTGAGAAGACCAGACGCGGTTTATGTGCCTTTTTCATTCTTGACCTTACACACACACACACACACCCAAAACCAGGTGGTAGATCACTGAGTCAGATCCTGGAAAGTGCCTTTGGGGTGTCCAAAAGCTCTCTTGTAAGCTTCATTTTTGGGATCCCCCGCGGCCGCCAGGGCCGGACGTGTTGGGGGAATGGGAATGAACCATTGAAACAGGATGGAACGAAGTGGGTCTCCAGAAGTGAACGAAAGAGGCGCTGGGTGGGTCTCAGTTGCCGTCCCTTTCTTTGAACAGGGGGTTTGATGAAGGCCCTGGGTGGGCATACAGATAAGTCCTTGGAGGTGGGGGTAGATGTGGAAAAGACACCTTTTTTTCCTTCATGGGCTCCTGGCCTTACTACTAAGAACAAGGACGCTACGAATGGGGCTCCGAACGCATCGCTACGTTCGTAACAAGAAGAGACGCCGCGCGGTGGACGCGCCGCAACGTCCAGGCGGTGGGCTACGGGGACATCTACCCGTCCAACTCCTTGGAGCGGATCATGTGCGGAACGTGGAGCGGATCGTGTGGGGGGTACGGGAGATGTCATCCCAGCTACTACCCGGTGACTAAGCGGACCCGAAACTGGATGAGGAAAAAAGGGCGGAAACAGGACCTGAGTTGAAACTGCACACAGAAAACATGTGTTCACCTTTCTAGCTGGAAAAAAGGCGGTGGCTGATCGGCTGGGGGATATTTCAGGGAGCGCAGTCGTGAAGGAGTCTAATAGCGATGGCCTCCAGCCTACTACTGTAGCGATGGCCTCCAACGTACAAGCGATGTGCCTCTAATGGAAGACGTTTGAATAGAACACCTGAAGATACCTGAAGCAGTTTCTTGGTTTTGAATGCTTTGAACTCGTTGGATGCTTCGAAGGTCAGCTGGTGTGTGACAGCCCTTTTCACTGGGTTCAGATGATCGCGGTGTCACAACGGTTACGGTGTGGCCACGCTCGAGGGGTGGTCGTACGAGGTCGTTGGGTCGTTGGTTTTTTTCCCGAATGCGTAGCGAAGGGTTCTCGTTTAACTCTGGGGGTCTGGGGGTAGAGCCTTGTTCGCGACGCGTTGTCTCAGCGTTCGCAACCGTCCGCAACCATTCGCAGTAGGGCGCTAAGGCGCTGCCATTCGTGCCGTGTCAGATTCGTGTGAAGTAGCGTGGAAACGTGTGGAAATGTAAGATGTTGAAGTGTGGAGGATGATTTCACTGCGCAGGCGCAGCGTTTTATAAGATCCGCAGTTTTCTGCACAGTTCCATTGGGATTAGCGTTTGGAGAGTGGTGTTTTTGGGGTGTTGGATGTGGCCGTGCCATTGGGGTTTGCGTTTCAGGGTGTTGCGTCGAAGCTCTGTTTTCGTGACAAGTCTCAGCTGAAATGGCGACTTTGGTGGAGTGGAGTGTGCTCAGGACGGGTCGAAATCATTCCAAACGTGTGGTGTGGTGCAAACTTTGTTGAAGCTCACATGACGTTGTATTTATTGTCACTTTTCGTGGCAGGCGCAGTACTTTTTGCGGGTTTTGCGGTGTGGAAGTGCGATTTTCGTAGCAGGCGCAGCGAGTCGTGAGGTTGCGAGGTGTGACGGAGGTGACATTTCGTGGCAGGCGCAGTACTTTGTGCGCGTTAGACGTGTGGACGCGGAAAGATTCGTGGCAGGCGCAGGGAATCGTGAGGTTGTGAGTTGTGGTAGAGGTGAATGTCGCTGTGACATTCGGATTGTTGGATGAAGTCTCGTACGAAACGCTCGTTTTGCAGACTTTGACATGTGAGTTTTTGAGTAAGTCTCGTACGAAACGCTCGTTTTGGAGACTGACGTGTGACTTTTGGAGGAAGTCTCGTATGAAACGCTTGTTTTGGAGACATGACGCGTGACTTTTGGAGGAAGTCTCGTACGAAACGCTTGTCTTGCAGACTCGAAGCGTGACTTTTGGAGGAAGTCTCGTACGAAACGCTCGTTTTGGAGACTGTACGCATGACTTTTGGAGGGCGTCTCGTACGAAACGCATTGTAGTGTATGGGCAGACCGTGTGGGAAAATTACGCAGTGCCATTGGGAGTTGCGCGGCCTTGGTGGGAAGTGCGTTTGCGTGGCGCCGTACCACTCAGAAGCGCGAAAGATGCTGGTGTATAAACGCGGCGTGTCGCTGGTGAGCGGGATGATTGGTGGTATCATGTGATATGTTTGCTTCTATTGTGTGGACAGACCCTGCGGCGAAATTACGTTCGTGATGTCGCAGTGCCATTGGGATT